CTCTTTGGTAATTCGGCCCAATTGACAGGAGATTCAATGATACAAGTAACCCAAACGCAATCAGAGAAGAATGTTGGAATCATATGAAAATCGGGGCGATATACGATGGGCCGACCGCCTTCGAACTGCCCCTCCTCCGCGTCTTCTTATCTGCCGGCGCGCAATGCATTAGATTCTCAATATCTCGTGACTGAGACCCATTGGCTTTGAGCCCTTCCTCTATCTCTCTTTCATCTCTTGCTGGACTACTCCCCGAACCCCAACCAGCCTCACTGATTACACTTCATTCGCCATGGAGCAAGAACTCCTGTCGCTCCTGGCAGATACCCAGTCGCCGAAGGCCGATATCAGAAGAGCCGCAGAGTCCCAGTTGGGAAATCTTTATGCCCACGATTCCTTCGCAATCTCACTCACAGCAATCGCCTCCCACGAGTCCGTTCCGGTCAATCTGCGCCAGTCTGCCCTCTCAGTCCTGCGTACCTTCATTGCCGCCGCCTGGTCCCCCATTCTCGACGAATTTAAAGGACAAATCCTCATCAACGACGCGAACAAAGCCAATGTTCGCCAGGCTTTATTGGTCCTTGCGACAAACGATACACCCCAGCGCAAGGTGAAGAACTCGGCCAGTTACGCTGTCAGCAAGATAGCCAGTGCCGACTTCCCGGACGACTGGCCCGAGCTGCTCCCCTCACTGCTCCGTATCATTAATGAGTCCGCCAGTACCGATGGTCAGATGCACGGTGCGCTGAAGGTACTCTTAGATCTTGTCGATACAGGCTTCAGTGAGGAGCAGTTTTTCAATGTCGCCCGTGATCTCGTTTCGTCCCTTTTCGCCGTGGCTACCGCTGAGTCCAGACGGCCAATGCTGCGCGCTCTGGCTGTCGCAGTCTTCCGTTCCTGCTTCGATACCCTGGAAATGGTTCTGGAACAACACAAGACGGCTATTAAGCAGTTCATGGATGAGGTGCTCAGTGGATGGTCGCCGTTCTTCGACACAGCTTTAAAGGCACCCCTGCCGCAGCCACCCAGCGAGGAAGAGGAACACAAACAAGGGGAGATTGCATCGCAATGGAGGGGAATTGTTGGGTTGAAGTTGCAAGTCGTCAAGGTATGTAGTCTTTCATTTTACTCACTCATCTAAAATTACGTTTTTTTTGGGGTTTTGTCGGGCTTTCGCTGACATGATCTTTTGTTATAGACTCTCATGAAAATCCGCATGGTGTTCCCTGCTCTTTTGACCGCGCAAAGCTCCCTTTTCTTCTCAACAGTCTGGACGGAACTCACCAACGCGTTGCCGATCTACCAGAATTTCTACATTGAGGAAGAGAGGCAGAGTCGTTTGGAGGATGGGGATGGACTTCCCCATTCCCTCGATTTCCTCGTTTTGGAGGAGCTTGATATTATCCAGGCCCTCTTGAAGGCACCCCCGGTAAAGGCAGAGCTACAGCAGCAACTCCAAAATGCCGGTGCGGCTGCCAGCACGTCCAGCTGGCTTCCGGAAATTATGAAGCTTGCTAGCTCCTATGCACAGATTACAACGGAAGAGGAGGCTCTATGGGAGATTGATGTGAACCTTTTCCTCTCGGAAGAGACTTCTGTCACGGCCAACTACACTCCTCGTACTTGCAGCGGAGATCTAGCGATCAAGGCTGGTGAATGGCTGAAGGGTACAGCTGCCGAGGGTCTTTTGGGCTACATGAACACCATCTTTGCCGATTCGTCTGTTTCGTGAGTATTACTCTATATTTTGGGTGAAATAATACTGACCGTGACGCAAATAGATGGAAATCACGGGAAGCCTCCATGTACATTCTCAACTGTTTGCTTCGAGACTTTGGCGAAGTCGACCAAGAGATCTCACCTGAGCTGGCGTCCCATTTCACCCAATTCGTGCAATATGCGATTCAACAAGAACAGGAGCTCTTGCGCGCTCGAGGCTACCTTGTGGCTGGCGCTTTGTCCAAGGTTGCCGGTGAGGCATTCCAGCAGACCACATCATCCTATTTGGAGGCAACTTTGAAGGCGATCGCCGAAGACCCTGCCGAGGTGGTCCAAGTGGCCTGCATTCGGGTGCTACAAGATCTGATGCCCGCTTTGCCGACGAGCTTGGCCCGCCCCTTCCAGCCTGCAGTTATTGCGGCCATTTCAGAGTTCATCTCTGCACACGACCTTCGTGAACAGACTGACTCTGATGATCTCAAGGTCACATTGGCGGAAACTCTTCGGGACACTATTATGGCCGATTCTAGTGTGGTTCTGTCGTCTACTGCAATTGATGTGCTGTTCAGCATTGCTAGCAGCGGAGCTGAAAACTTCCAATTGACCTTGACTGTCACAGAAGCATTCGAAGATATTGTGGACCAAATTACTGACAATGGCCCCGATTCTTACATGCGTCTTTGCGAGAAGGTGCTTCCCTCGTTGATGGGTGCGATCGATGTGGGCAACCTGACCGAAGAGAATGCTTTGACAAACTTTGCGGCCGATCTTCTTCGCGCTCTGGCCGAGCGGAGTCCCGAGCCGATGCCCGCTGGTTTCGTGGAGACAGTGATGCCCAAGTTGAACCGCCTGCTGCTGGACTCCGATGAGGCCGAATTGATCCGACCTGCCACAGAGGCTGTACGACACATGCTCTCGCACGACTTTGCACAGTTCATTGTCTGGCGTGATCCTCAATCTGGAAAGGAAGCACTCGAAGTTGTGTTGGTCATCATTGACCGCCTGCTGGGCCCGGCTGTGGATGATAACGCAGCCACAGAGGTCGGCCAGCTAGCAGCAGAGTTGGTGGAACGGGCCGGCTCCGAGCGTCTCGGTCCCTACCTGCCGCAGCTCCTGCAAGCCGTGGCGCAGCGACTGGCGACAGCACAGCAAGCTCAATTCATCCAAAGCCTCATCCTCGTCTTCGCGCGACTCACTCTCATCAGCGCACGCGAGGTAGTCGACTTCCTGGCCCAGGTCAACCTGGGCGGCCAGAGCGGACTCACCGTGGTCTTGAGCAAGTGGCTTGAGAATTCCGTCAACTTCGCCGGCTACGACGAGATCAAGCAGAACATCTTCGCCCTAGCACGGCTGTACGAGCTCGCCGACCCACGTGTGGCCGAAGTTCCCGTCAAAGGCGACCTCATCATTCAGGATACCGGCCGAATCAAGACCCGCTCGCAGGCGCGCAAGAACCCAGACCAATTTACGACCGTGCCCGCACCACTGAAGATCTTCAAGGTTCTGGTCGAAGAGCTGGGCGCAGCCTCTGGCAACAAGGAAATCGACGCTGCTACTGCGGCAGCTCTGGATGAGGCTGACAGCGACGACGGCGACGACGACTGGGAGGATCTCCCCAGCCAGGTCCTGGACCTCGGCATCGGAGCCACGAAACAGGGACTGATGAGCTTCGGCGAGGGCGGCTCCGAGAGTGTCTTTGGTGTGCGTCGCCGGGACGATGAAACGCAGAGCTTCCTGGCAGATTTCTTCCGACAGGCCTCCACACAGCCTGGTTTCCAAGAATTGTACGCGGCGCTGACTCCGGATGAGCAAGCTAAGCTGCAGAGTCTGTGAGTGGAGCTGAGGGAAATCTTACTCGAGGTTGTGGTTGCGAGTACCCAGGTCCCCGGGGCCCGGGTTATTAATGGTTTGATGCATGAATGCCAATAAAACATCCAAGGACTTGTATATGTCGCTTGTACGGAGTAAACATACGTTTTCCCCCTTTTTTTTCTTGCTGCCTACCGTTCTGTAAAATGAGTATTAGCACATCCTTGTAGCAGAGACCCTGGAAGTTTTTGACCTGGACGAATTGGGGCTGTCCACGAATGCTAGTTTATGTTTGGCCCCCCCACTCCGGACTTTGTACGCCATACATTCATCTGCAACATTTTGTTTGTATTATTTTTGGGCTATAGCCCTAGCCATTTGAAGTCTGCTCTGGGAGATAATAGTAATTAGTGACTCTATTTCATGCAATCTACGTAAGAAACAAAAGTACCATAAAAAAAGCGAAGGAGCCAGGGCCTCCAAGGTTTCTGCATGTTTCCCATTCCAGTCGGAACTGGGCTATCCCATGTGGGGTCGTAACCAGACAGTCGGGTCCAACCATTCCCAAGATTTTGAATATCCCAGGGTTCCCAGCTGAGTTAGGCTCTCATCTGGCTTGGGCATACCTACGGCTCTTGGCTTCTATTTCGGTGTTAGTGCTTACCTGCTATGTGGTTACTGGGTCAAGCTGAGCACGCCATTACAGTCTCTTTGTACTCCGTACTCCGTACTACATAGGCACCCTAAAACGCACCACGCTAGTCTCCTTTGCTGTACAGTCTCTAGTTCTCCCCTCAATGAAAGGCTATGTAGCGTCACCAATATAGTAACTATAATATATAGAGATCTCTGATATAATCAAGGACGAGATAATGAGTCTTTATTTGTATTTATGCCCCTTCTTCAGGAGGTTCGGTTTGCTGCCTTTACTAAATCCCAAGGTCTCCATCCTCAGACGTCTCTCCAGTCTATTGCCATAGTTCTGACGCTCTAAAACTTTGCATTGACACAAATGAATTACTGCTTGGTATGATTATTGGCGGTGTTTGGCAAATTGGCAGATGTAGCTTGAAAATATGGAAATGTAAAAGGACATACGAACTTGGTTGACGGTGCGGGCCGAGAGGACCGACCCGTTGGCCTGAAGCCTATTCATTCCATGGATCTCACAACGCGGGGTAACATTCCTGAGCCTCTCGCTGGAAAGAACGTCTCAATTGCAGCCTTCCTAGAACTCGCCTTTCATCGAGGAAGAAGATTGAGCGATAATTTGTTTTTGGAAGAGCTACGCGGTCAAGGAATACATATGCCTATTTGTTTGTGTTGGCGAATGTTAGTAGCCAAAAAATGTAGATTCCGAGATACATGTAATGAGCAATCATCACGAAAGTGTTGAACTTCGCTTTTCTCTCCGAGATTGCCGAGCATTGTCCATTTTTGCTATAGACAGACTAGTCATCTTGCAATACTAACTAGCGGTTACCTTCGTGCCGTGAATTTAGCTGGGACAGAAGTGACTTACATCGAACTTTCCCGAAAAAGCCTTGATGTCTTGGTCTAAGACTAGTTTCACGGACTTGTAGGAAGCGTTGCCCCCTGGCTGGCCTATCCAGCTCGAAGTGTCGCCTGTGTTGAAGATGGGGCGTATCGCATGGATGCCACATTTTCCGAAGTCAACCATAAATCCCCTAAGCTTCCTGTCGTGGATGTCGATCAAAACTTGCGTTCCCGGTAGTCGATAGCCAAAATTGATGCGTGTATCTGCGCTGAGCAAGTCAAATCCAGTGATAAAAGTCTGTTCCGCTTCCCACATGATAGACACGGCCAAGCTAATAATGGAACTTTGCAATGGAACATCTTGTTCAAAAGAAACATGCTCTATCCAACAAGCTTTGCAAATCCATACGACTGGGCCATTTTTGCGGAAGTTTCCATTTTTGGGAAATCTTTTGGTGTGAATCTCAGCAGAAGCTTCCTTCCAGCATAGCTCTAGCCCATTAACCAAGTTGCGTTGAGAGGCAATTTGCTTGTTCGAGACTTTAGTCAGTGAGCATCTTTCCCTCAGCCATCGGTGAATTTCCCACTGCTGCCGAATTACCCAGAGCTGAGAACGATCATTTCCATCGATCGTTGCCGTACACCGGTAGAGAAGTAGCCAGTATTTGCTCTCGTATCTTTGGGGACTATCGATGAGACAGGCCAGAAAGCCACGGTCCCCGTCCACTTGGAACTTTAATTTCCAGAATGATTGTATTTCAAAGACACTTGCCATTGCTCGGGATGAACATCGAAGTCTTAGGAAGTCGATAGTAGGAAGGTAAACTGCAATCTCAAGTCGGACCTCCACTGGGAGCAAGCCGAAGCAGTCAGTGGTAAAGGCAGCATTGTTCCTAGGGGTAACTGCTACCTTGCATCTTTTCGGAAACGAGGTCGTGGAGTATCGTGGTACCCGTATGGTAGGTCGTTCCAGGGGATGAAAAAACGTTACCCTTCCAGGATTGTAGATATCAGTTTGAATGGCTATCTTTGTCAGCTAAGACTCAAAATCTGTAGGGATAGGGATCTCACGGTAGGATTGCTGTATTGGCCGAGGTATATCTTTGCAAGCCTTGAAAAGTTTATCTAGATTGACCTCGTTTCCGAAATGCTTGATTAAGCTGGACCAACAGTCATCATGAAATAGGAAAGCCTGCACAGGCTTATTGCTGGCCATACATATTTTTGAGTACCCAAATAAGAATGTCACTTCGAGAACTCAGTAATAGTGTCTATATACTCTCCCTAAATCGCATATCAAAAGTCGTCTAGTGGCCCTGGAGATCATAGTAACATGTCGACTTGCCGAACTTTGGCAAATACTATATAGCCTTCTAAGGTTCCAATGTTTCCAAGGTCCCAATATTCACTAAAAAAAAGGAAGTTGCCAAGACACCCAGTGGCAGGTATAGAGTGCTTTAGCGAGTACGAAGTAGACTCCAGGGCTCAAATTTACTCAGTACCCACTCCTAGTCAACCGGGGTTCAGATCCCGCCTTCCAGGTCAGAACCTTGGAAATGTTAATCGAAAATCCACCCCAATGACCGATTTGGAATAGGCGTACCAGGCTGTCGGATTTGTGATAAAAGCAAAGGTACTGGGAAAAAAATAAGCGCTATTTCCCGGTATCCTCTCTCTCGGGTTTCTTGGAATTGATAGCTTCATTTCACTTCCCCTCTTCTACTTTCTCTCGGGGAGAAAACTCCTCTCTTCCCTACTCTCTCTCTCTCTACTCCTAATCTTCCTACCTTCCCGACCTTCCCTGCCTCCCCTCGCCATGTCAAAACCCAATCTCGATGAACGCATCCAAATCGACGTAAGTAGATCATTCTCTTTCATCTCTTTAATCCCATTTTTACCCATATCCTTGTACCTACCAGCACCCAAAAACAGGTCACTCTCCCAATCTCACATCTCCAATCCCCATCTTAGCTTATAAATTCAATCTCCAATAAATTCCAACCTCCCCCCACTAACAACCCCCAGACAAGCGATGACGACTCCCTCTTCGAAACCCAAACCCTCGCAGGCTCAAACCTCTCCTTTGCCTCCTCCGTCCGAGACTACAGCTACGAAAACGGTCGCCGCTACCACGCCTACCGTAACGGTCAATACCCCCTCCCAAACGACGAAGAAGAACAAGACCGCCTAGCACTACTCCACCACCTTTTTAAACTGATCTCAGGCGGGGATCTGCACCGCGCACCAATACACAGCTCCGACCCGCGCCGCATTCTCGACATCGGCACCGGCACCGCCGAATGGGCCATGGAAATGGCCGAAGACTACCCGCAGGCGGATATCATCGGCACCGATCTCAGCCCCATCCAGCCGAACTGGGCCCCGCCGAATTGTCGCTTCTTTGTCGATGATGCGGAGAGTGATTGGACCTTCTCGTCTGGTGGGTCGTTCGACTATATCCATTCAAGATCTATGAGCGGCGGCATTGAGGATTGGCCGAGGCTACTTAAGCAGGCTTATCAGCATCTTAAGCCGGGTGGCTGGTTTGAGGCGCAGGAGTTTGAGGGCTGGGTGCATTCCGATGATGGGTCTCATGAGTGCGCTACTGCTATTACCAGCTGGCATGAATTGTTGGGTCAGGCTGGTAAGAAGTTTGGGAAGCCGATGGATATTGCACCGAAGATGGCGCGGTGGATGGCTGAACAGGGGTTTGCGAATATTAGTGATGATATTTATAAAGTATGGCCACTTTCTTATCCGGCTGTTGTTGTTTTTTTCGTATACTGACCTGCTTTCAGTGTCCGATTGGTGGCTGGGCCAAGAACCGCCGTTACAAAGAAATGGGTCGCGTCGGCAAGATGGTTGTCTTGGAAGCCGTCGAGCCGTACTCGCTAGCTCTCTTCACTCGAGTCATGGGCTTCTCGTACCAGGAAGCACAGGAGTATATGGACAAGGTGCGGGCGGAGCTGCTGAGCAACAAGAACCACCTCTATGTGCGCTTCCACTTTGTCTACGGGCAGCGACCTTTCGACGATGAAACCACTGATTCCGAGGCGTCTTGAGACTTGGGACTGTGGCAACGATGATTATGACAATGATACCCACCTAAAACCGAGCTGGAGAATAACTCCTTCCCTATCGACTTCTCCAGTCTCGACGCCCTGACCTTACGACATGGATCATGGCTTGATGACTTGATTTCTGCGAATTAATGTATAATGGCAGAAGTTCTATGTACTAGATTCTTTGCCTCATTTATGTTCATATTCATGTGGACATGGAAGATATCATGATATCATGATGCATGAGAATATGGGATGACGTGGTGCGGTGATTCTGTCTCAGACGGTCTCACCATGACTTTACTTGCCTGGTATCGACCAGCGACCTGGGCTATATATCCACCGAGTGGGTTTTCCAGAGACCCAGCTCTGAGCCTGACCGAACAACTCGATTCCAACATATTCGGCATATGCACACAACAGACCTAGGCCCGGGTTCGGGGATCGGTTTGAGTATGCGCTTACACCGTCGTTACCGGGCATTCCAAATCCCGAGAACCTGACAAACCCCCGAAACAGCCTCCTCCGGAGAAGGGCTTGCCCGCAAGACCTGAATCACCTGAGGTAGACGTTGCTCGTCACAGCTGGCAATGGTTTCCAGCAGGATCTCCAGCAATTCCTGTTTCCCCTCGCCCTTCCAGGAGCTCGGCATTGAGTTCATGATGGTTGTTGGCGAAGGACGGTCCTGGGAACTGGGGCTGGCGTGACTTGAAGTATCGCCTGACACGGGAGTCTGGGTGGGTAGGGAGAAGGATGCATCTGTATAGGTGTTGATGTTTGTGTTGGTGGCGGTGGTATTGGTGAAGGTGTTGATAGTTGAATAATGAGATGGGGTTTGGTATATATGCGTATTCGGGAATTGATTCGGACTTGGATTCGGATTCCCATATGCATCTTGCCCCCATTGATGATATGCATGAGGCCTGTCATCTTCATTTGGTATTGGATATTCCTCCCCGTAATGTGTTACTGTTGATGCTGGTATGGGTGCGGGATAGCCAGTGTGTTGTAAGTGTGGTAGTGCTTTGCCTCCATCAAGCATATAATTATCGCCATTGGTTCCATATAGCGCATGGTGGTGCATCCCTAACATCGCATCCTGCGCGTGTAGCCCGTGCACTGGGAGACCCTGCATCGGTACCGGGACTGTTCCGGACATGTCCCCCGGAGCGAAGGTCATACCTCCTGTATAATATCCAGACATTGTCGCATCTTCTAGAGGATCTACCCAAAGTTAGCGCAAGCGCCAGAAAGAAGTGGAACATATGCAAAACATACTTCCAAAAGCAAGCGATTCAACCGCAGTCGATCCATCCAGCTCCGCAACTTGCGGCGCATACCCCGTCGCGATAGGATAAGCAGAAACCGAAGCAGAAGCCGACCGCGACGAAGCGGACATCGACCCAGCCCCGGTCTCACTCCCCGTACTATCCGGACTCGTAACAGTCACAGAGTTCGTCATAGTCGTGATCGACGAGGATGGCGACGACCCGCGCCAGCTGCCTTCACCAGTATCCGGTGTACCTCTAGCCGAGGAAGAGCCAGCGCCAGCGCCAGTCGCGTACCCGCAGCCATTGGCATGACCATGGCCGTCATAATTGTAGCCCGTATGCGCGGGCGCATATTGTGTCCAACTCTGACTGCTTCCCGGGACGGTTCCGGCCCCCTTGTCCGGGCGCGAGCGCTGACTGTGACTCTGACTTTGGCTATGACCGGTCTCTCGTGGACTCTGGTTCAGGCGCCCCCGCAGCTGTGCGACTTCGCGTCGTAGTTGGTCGATTATCTCGGATTGGCTGATGTGGGCGCGATCTTCGGCCGTCGTAAGGTAGGTGCATTCTGCTTCGAGGCCGCGGATAATGCAGGCATGGCATGGGATAGAGCGATCGCACTGGGAGAGTGGTGATTAGTGGATTAATTAAAGTCTCGGGAGTAGAGATAGTGAGGTAGTAGAGATAACGTGGGAGAACGCGGAACGTACCTTCACTTTGCGCTCACGACATCTGAGGCACGACTGCTGAGGGCGTATCTTCGTCTTCAAATCGGGGGGCATTGTGCACAAATACCACCGTAGTAATGAAGTTTCAAAGATCAATTGCCCCCAGATCGGAGAATCGGAGAAACCGTTGAACTTCAGTAGCGGGGGAGGTTCCACTCAGAGTCGGGTTTTTCACATCCCGGTCATGCAGGTTCAGCTGTGCCACATATGGAAGATATCAGGGGGGAAAATGTGATGAGTCGCATTTCATGGCGTTCTATAGGCCAAAGCTCTAAACTCTGATTGGGTACAGTTCGAAATTATCTTCTTGTTAAGATCGGCGAGTCTTGCAGATCTTAGAATCAGAATCGGTATGCTCTTCGAACTGTGGCAGATATATGCTACTTCGGCATAGATACAATCTGTCAAATGGTACCGTCACAATGTTTATCACCTCCCCCTCGATTACCTGCAGATCCCAATGCATGAATGCGACGTCGGTGCGGGGAATCCTTGAAAAGTGAGCCAGTCAAGGAAATGAAGAAAGTATAGTGAAGAGGACCTGGATAGCATAAAACGGGCAGGTGTGCTGTGCAATATACGCCTCAGCTGACTTCAAGCCTGCGCCATCAAAGCCATCAAAGCATATTACACCTTTTCTCGTATCTATACTCTTTCGCAGACTATGAAGACCCTCTCCCCCAAAAGCTGGGCAGCCCGAAGCCTGGCCGGCCTCCTGGCCCTGCCACTGTTACCAGTGCAAGCCTCGGTTGAGAACCCAGGCTTGGCCCCAGCACCTCCAATGGGGTTCAACAACTGGGCGCGCTTTATGTGCGATCTGAACGAGACGCTCTTTACCGAAACAGCACAATCAATGCTAGACCGCGGCCTCCTCGATGTAGGCTATGACCGCCTCACGCTGGATGACTGCTGGATGAGCCATGACCGCGCCGATGACGGTTCTCTACAGTGGGACACCGAAAAGTTCCCGCACGGCATTCCCTGGCTTGTCAAGTACATGAATAGCAAGGGCTTCCAGCTCGGCATTTACGAAGATTCTGGCAACTTGACCTGCGGCGGCTACCCGGGCTCCTACAAACACGAGGCGCAGGATGCTGAACTCTTTGCTAGCTGGGGTATCGACTACCTTAAGCTGGACGGGTGCAATCTCTGGGAGGAGGAAGGCCGCTCGCTGCGCGAGGAGTACCGTGTCCGCTACGAGGGGTGGCATGATATTTTGAGCGCCATGCCGAAGCCGCTTATCTTTTCCAATTCCGCGCCTGCATATTTCGAAGGCAAACCGGGAGACTGGGAGGTCGTCATGAACTGGGTCCCGGAGTCCGGCGAGTTGGCGCGTCACTCGGCGGATGTGCTTAACTATGCCGTCGAAGGCAGTGCCTGGGATAGCATTATGTATAACTACGACTTCCACGTGCGTCTAGTGCGCTACCAGCAACCGGGCTACTATAACGACCCCGACTTCTTGATCCCAGACCACCCGAGCCTCTCGATGAACGAGAAAAAATCCCAGTTCGCGGTCTGGGCTTCCATCGGCGCGCCACTGATTCTCAGCGCTTACGTTCCCGACCTCTCGGACGAGGAGATCGCATTCCTCAGCAACAAGGCCCTCATCGCCGTGAACAAGGACCCGTTGGCGCAGCAATCTGCTCTTGTTAGCCGTGATGGCACCTTCGATGTCCTAACCCGCTCCCTGGAGAACGGAGACAGACTCCTGACCGTGCTGAACCGCGGAGCCGACGCGGCCACAACGACCGTCTCCCTCGCGCGTCTCGGTCTGTCATCCAAGTCTTGCAAGTATGAGGCGCGTGATCTTGTCAGCGACGAAGTCTCCACTATCGACTCTGCTATCAAAGTCCAGCTCGATTCCCATGCTGCCAAGGTCTACCGTATTGCGCTGCCCAAAAAGTGCACCAAGACTACCCCTACCGCGATGATTTTCAACACTCCGTCTGATCTTTGCATGACTGCTTCTACTGATTCTGTTACCTTTGAGAAATGCAGTGGCTCAGACGCCCAGGTCTGGCACGTGGCGGCCACGGGCCATGGCACTGAGCTGACTTTGAGTCCTCTGTCGGATGAGTCGCTTTGTCTTGCTGCTGGGGATGGGCTTTCACTTGTCAAGTGCCATGGTGGACACGGTACTAACTGGGATCACTATATTTCGGGTCATTTGCGCAGCTCGTCTGGGGATTGTTTGACTCAGACCAAGGATAAGGGCAGTGTCGAGGCGTGTGTGATTGATAGTGTTGGGCAGATCTTTGGATTGCCAAGTGGAGTCCGTCTGGCCAAGGGAGATTTGAACTAGACTAGATATGGATTAGCATGGAACTCAATATCCGAGCTTGAAACCACGTGACATGGATCTATACATTCGTACTTTTTGTATAGGTGCGGGTGCCAAGAGCATCATTTCCAAATATCTCAAGGGCAAAGAGAAATTTCAGACCTATTAGACCCCTGAGAGGTTTGAAAAATAAATAGGAAGATTAAAAGTCACCCGAACCTTCATCTAGAGGGTTTGATCGAGTAGGGATGAAAGGGGGCCAAGGCCGCAGCTGCAAAGTCACACCATTTGTACATTCTGCCCTATACACAAGTCATAACTAGACCTGGCGTTAAATACAACAATATTCATAATTCCCCAAAATCTTGGAAAGTCTATCCCTGCAAAGAAAACCCAACCCCCTCACCAGTCCCCATCTCAACAAGATTAGCCCTCATCCTCTCAGCCCTCTCGCCAAGCCCAAAGGCAGCATCATCACGATGAACCCAAGCCCCGACTCCATGCTGCAGCACAGCAGTAGCCCGAACCTTCTTCTTCTCCTCGGCATCCTCACCCCCATCCCCAGACGCCTTCAACCCAAGACTGCCATGCAAAGTCAACCTAGTCTCAGCCCCACCCTCACTCTTCCCCCGATAAACTCCACGGTGCAAGATATTACTATTATAAAACACCGCATCTCCAGGTTGCAACTGAACAACCAACTGATCCGGCAACTCGGCCGCATAAGGATCCGCATCACGCTCGACCTGCGTGCGCGCACGTGTATGAGTTCCCGGCACAACAATCAGCGACGCATCAGGGCACAGCGCCAAGTTGTACTGGCAATGCGACTGACGGCCACCAGGTGCCTTAGCCGCAAGCTGGGCGAGTTCTTCTTCGGCGGTGGCATGCTCGGAGATATCGTCGCGGTGCCAGCGGAGCTCGAAATCTTTGGTTTCCGGCGCCACGAGCAGATTGAACAGTTCCATGACGAGCGGCTCGGTCTCGCTGTCGATGTTTTCAATGCCCATTAGCTCCTCTGCTACGGCGAGAATGGTTGGGGAGAAGTAGCATTGTGCGAAACTCTTCCGGCCTGGCATTTCGGGGTGCATTAGGTGCTGCACGCCCCAGATTCCGCCCTCCGAGGCGGGAGGAACGGTTGTCGGCCAGGGTGGGAATTGTTTTGGCACGGTGCGGAAGTGTGGCCAGCTTCCGGTGCGAGTTAGGGTTGTTGCTGTTGTGGCAATGTCGCGGTAGTGGGATACCTCGGTTGGGGTTAGGAGGTTGCGGACTACTACGAAGCCATCGCGTTTGAGGGCGTCTAGGTTTGGGGTGGCCATGGTAGAGGAAATTTATAAAACAATTAGATCTTGAGTATCTGAGGATCTAGGAAGTACCTTATCTAAAGATGGAATTTATATCTGCGGGGGGTTGACATAGGCTAAAATAACAATGCGACTGTCGCATTTTGGTTTTCTAGAACTTCGATCTCGATGCTACCGTGGATCTCGATGTGACCTCCGGTATTTTACTATTTTACATGTACACATCATACGATATGTATTTTATGCTCTACACATTGTGTACTTCATACTAGAGACTGAGGTAGTTTTAATTATAAATAATAACCCCCAATCAAACATAACAAACTATTTGGGTCAATGCACTTTCTTGTTTCAGAGGAACGTCATGGGCGCCAAGACTAAGCCAAGAGGTCAAACGGTTGAATCCTCTGCCATTTGATATTGCAATCTCTATTCCTTGGTAATTTGCTTAATTCTCTAGTTTCTACTCCTTCGGGATATCCGATATTAATCCTCTCCAATTTTGAGAAAAAATACCACTTTGCAAATATCACCCCCACCATGCCCCTCCTCCACGCGGGCTCCGCCCTGCTAGTATTGCTCCTGATACTCCCGCAAGTACACGCCTTTGGAGCTGGAAATATTGCCTCTATCTCCGCCGTCGAAGGCAAGAACTGGCGCCATGGTGATATCGAAGATGTTCTCAAGACACTGGCTTTCATCTCCGGCCACAAATGGACCTCCACTATGGTCAAGCGCGTGTATTTTGGTAACTGGTTGCGCGATTAGTGAGTTAGCCCACAATCGAAAGATCGATATATTCTGACTTCCTCTATAGCTCGCAGGCAATGGACGTTGGAACTCTTAAAAATCTGCAGGCCGATACGATCCGTGTTTTGGTGTGGGTCCTCTCATTCCTGAGCTTCGGCTATGCTACGGGTGAATTTGAGGTGACTTCGGATCGCTTGGGTGTTTACCGTCCCGAGGAACATATTGAGTAAGTCCAGCTTGAGCCTCTTGATAATCTATATGTGCTGATCGTCTTCTCGCAGTAACCCTAAAGACTATGCCGACAATGAGGATGCACGCCAATATGACAAGCGGTTGCGCCCACCTGTTCGTGCCGTCGAGCTCGAGATTGACCCGAGCACCGGTATGAAGAACTATATCGCCAACGAGAGAGGCGATTGGGCCACCAGCACTGCCTTTATCAAGTTCAGTCTGAGCCGCAGTATCCACTACGGACGAACCTACACCAACGGCGGACAAAAGAAGGGCAACGAGGAGGACCTGTGCGAAGCACTCCGGTGTCTAGGCCAGGGATTACACACGCTGGAGGATTTCGCCGCACACACCAACTATGTCGAGCTGGCATTGCGCGAGATGGGTTTCAAGAATGTGTTCCCGCATACGGGTACTGCCACCCAGATCAACCTTCAAGGACATCGCGTTTTCCCGCTTATAACGGGAACCTTTGGTATGGTCGATTTCTTCCATTCTGTGATGGGAGAGGCAAATGATCATTTCACTCAATCCGAGGTCAACGAGATGGATATTGCGCTCGGTAATGCTGAAACGAATGCGCAGTCGAATAACTCCCTTAGTGCCTTGACTGGGCTCTTGGGCAAGATCCCCGGTACTAAGGAGCTCGTCAGCGAGGCCGAGGGTCTCAAGAGGTCGTCGGCGGAACAAGAAATGGCCAACCGGAGCCGTAGTGCTGGGACCGGCTATGCACAATCTGCTTCCAATGGCTACGAGCGGTCCCGTGCGGAGCCAAGTCAGTCTTCAGGTGGTTCGAAGCCTGGTGCTGGGCTTGACGGCATGCCGGACTTCAACCCCCAGGAGACAGTAGCCAAGATCTATCCCATCCTGGCCTTCCGAGATAAGGTGGTGCGGAAATTGAACGCGATCATTGAAAAGATCCCAGGCTTAGAGTCACTCGTCGAGAAGATCTCCGAGACTCTAACCGTTTTCATCATGTCCCTCCTAGCGCCTTTCGTTCGACCTCTGATCAAGGCTGCTTCCAAATCCATCCAAAGTGGATCAGCAGGTGTCATTGATGCCTCTGGCAAGCACCAGTATGAACCGTGGACCGATCCCCACTGCACAGACCCCACCCACTCCTTGCTCTCTAAGGACCACTTTGCCAACATTCTGAATGAGCCCGCCGGACGGGTCGCCTCTTCAATCGTGGAGTACGTCGCGCCTCGCATTCTGTACGCTTGGCAACACATCGATGTCTCCGAGGACGAGGTCCTCAATGACTGCATGCAAGTCTTCCATCACCCCGCGGTGCGCAACATGCGCAATGATGCCCACCGTGCAATGTTTGAGGCCGTCGAGAAATGGGCCCACGGCCGCTCAGACCGCGGCGCTTCCCTTGACTCCATCCTCAGCTCTGAGGGTGTGAGATCCGGTCGTAACACCGGCGGAGTGAGCCACACGCACAGCGGTGGTCATGGTGGATTCGCGGCATTGGGTGGTGCCTCGCACAGCCAAAGCCAGAGTCATAACCAAAGCCAGAGTCACAGCCAAAGCCATGGACACGGTAACAATGGCGGACATTCATCTGGTGGATTCTCTTCATTCCTTCCCCAACAAAATCACCAGCAACAATCAAACAGCAGCTCCTCTGGCATGCCCTGGGACAAACTCTCCAGCATCCCCGGCTTGTCTAACCTCGGCAAACTCGAGAGTAAATTATCTAACTTCCTCCCTGGCGGTTTGTCACGCGATGTAAACGACGAAGGAAGCCAGCACAGCTCATACCAGAGCCACCAGGCAGGGGGTGGGTACAACGCCCCCCGCCCTCCTCCACAGCAGCACGGCGGATATCACCAGCCTCAACACGTACCTCAACAAAGTCACGGTTACCAGGGAAATCAACAGCATGAACCGCATTACGGCGACTCGCAGAATCCTTCGTCCTATAGACAGCAGGACGACCACTTCAGCCATCCACAGCCGCATGGTGCCCACAATGCCCCACCACACGGTTCGCATGGTGGATTTGGACAGGATCAGGGACATGGTCATGGTCACGGGCATGGACATGGTCACCCGGGTTACTGAAGATTTTATGATGAGACAAAATAAATTATTTGGTTGAATATGTGGATATCAAGTACAGATGGATGGATGATTGTATTAATAAAATTGGATGGTTGTGCTTGTGCCGGTTTGTAAGGCAATGGAGTTTGAAAAGACGAAAAGGTGGAGGATTCAGGAAACTTGGGGTTTGTACTGCATTTTATAAAGGCTTGTGTGAAAATCTTGACATTGAGTCAACTTGGGCTTTCTTTGAATCTATATGAGCTGTTGGGGTTCCTCGGATATCTGGGTTATCACCAAGGTCATTTAGTTGGTTAGGTTCTTCCTCAATTAACGGCTCTGTTTGCTTTATTTCTTGCCCTAAGATGCTGTCTCATCATGATCTTATACCGTTTTAATTTCATAAAATAAGTATACAGAGTTCAGATGGTCACCTCCCTTGCAAGTTTTGTATGTCTCTTTTTCTCTGACCACCCGGTTAGAGAAAAAGGATTCTTACATTTTCCGCAAGGCTTTATTGGGTATTCTGGGCCTCGTCCAACAAAGGGCAGATTTAGCTCTTTGGCAATGAAAGTATCATTTATTTTCCTTGTATGACTTGGCATAAAGAACCATTTAAATGCCTTTGATCTTTTTATGTCTAACAAAGGCATTCTGTCTCGGGTCCAGTGCTATATGCCCCAGACTCTCTGGAGCAGTATAAACTCTTCTCTCTTCGCTCCAATAACAGGAATTCGCTCACATCGGTCTCTTCTCCGCCACTCCCAAGTCAGACATCCACATTTAATCCGATACCCGACTACGGCCCGATTGTGTGAGTCTTGCATCCCATATATCATCATGTCTAACGATGCTCACAGGTGGGAGCAGGTTGCAGAGCTCTACGGTGGACCAGCCGCAGACTTGCAGATCACTCCTCAGGCATCTGTAAGGTGTTATGTGGGCCAGTTTCTTGGTACTTCCTGGCCATTGGTTACAGTTAACCAGTGGATTAACGAGAACCACATTATCTGGACCCTCTGTGCCGCCCTCGCAGCACATAGCCGCGACGACGACTGGACACGCACATTTGAGAACAACCATCGTGTCCAGTGGGATCGGATACAGGCGACTGTAGAGAAGGCCCAGGGTGTTGACCGGTTTCTGCTAGATATCCCACCCCCGCCTTTGCTGCTCGCTGTATTCCGAAGCACCAGTAGGTCTCTGCGCCAGAACCACGCCATCATGGCCACACCTGCTAGTGTATGTTCCAATGGAGGCCTCCTGGACCTCTTGCGGTTTCTCTATCACGGAGGATTTACCTCGACTGATGTCTTCATCGTAGTTCTGTATGACACGGAGTTTACCGGTTTCGCGCCGGTTTCGCCTCCGTACGCTGCCCTGGGATTGCCAGACCCGCATGTCGATGTGCCAGTATTGCACCTCTCTCGTCCGGAGGAGGATGTGCCCACTCTGCCTTCTCCTCCTCCTCCTCCTCCTCCTCCTCCTTACCGCGGTATCACTCCACCTCCACCTTACCGCGGTCCATCTCCTGCTCCTCCTGGTTATTCCCCATGATGGCGTATAGCACTGCTTTTCGGGGGGGGGGGGGGGGGGACCCTATATGAAGCCCATCGGATACTAGCAGTTCTATTCTCGGGCTATTATATGATATCGGTAGCTTTAAACCCTACCTACAATAGTTTCCTTGGCTACAGATCTCCTTTATAGAATGAATACAGTTGGTCTTTCGTTAATTCTCTATATATATGATACTTGTAACCTTGGTCTGGGATATTAAAGACTTGACTTAAAAGATATCTAACATTGTAGGTTTCCGCGTGTATAATGAAGCGCACGGGCTAATTTGGGTACGGATGGCTTCAGGGCAAGTAGCACAATGCGCAACCTAACTTTGAGTTCAAGCTGTGGTTTGTTGGGTCTCTATATCTAAAAGCAAATATTTAGGGCAAGACAACTAATGTCACAAGACTTTATCAAGAGAGTATACATTTTATTCTAATACCTAAAAATAATAGAGGGCTGTGTAGACTGGTCGCCTGATGCTAAAAATAGCGGAAGTCAATAATCGCGTGTGGATTTGATAATGAAATAACTTACAATAAGCACAGATGAGAGTCAGTTAAAGGCCAATGCGTACTACCGAGGGACTTTGTTTGAACGGCAATGGCTTATCATTCGATAATCTGGGGATCCAAGTAGGTTTGCCCAGCTGAGTTACAATAACTTCAATGTAACTATACGTCAACATTCGGTCATGGTCTTGATCCTACGTGTCTATTTCTCGTGTCCATGTCTCAGTTGAACTATTCAACGAGTATATCTCCAACAAGTACGGAGTATATGTACAGGACTTGAAGTATAAGAGAGTCGTCAACGCCATCGGTATACCTCCAACAGCAGCAAAGATCCAACCGCAACACCAAAAAAACAAAGCAACAAACATCCGTTCAGAAAAATGAAGACCCTCTCAATGTCCGCTCTCGTCCTGGCGACTGCCACCTTCACCCTCGCTGCACCCAGCCCTATGGTGCCGGCCCTAGAGCCACTGCAACTTACAAATCTCAATGCAGGCATCTATAGCACAACACCCCCAGCAACATGCCTCCTCTCTTTCGCTCTCAAGGATCCAAACACGAACACAGACACCACATGCTCTGGTTACTGGTATGTTCCAATCTGTCTTCCAGCTTTCTTCTCTGTGTTTAGGCTACCCTATAGACCCAAAGTCAAACGACGTAAGTGATACTAACTTTTAGATAGGTCAATCGGTATGGCTGGAAATAAGACCTACAACTGCTCCGACAAGGCATACCAGCTCCACCTCCCAAATGGAATCTATGATATTGAAAACTTCGATCTGGGTGTCTCCCGCGCAGACGGCTCTCATTCTGGACGGTCAACTGTGAGTGGTGACTTGTGGAAATGCGAGAAGCAGGAGTATCCTAAGGCACAGTGCAAGTGGGATGGTATTTTCAGTCTCGATCTGGCTTCGCCTACTTGATTGGAGGTTTGGGGTATGGCATTAGAACTGGACGGAATGTGTAGATATGTGGGCACGCTATTTCAGTTTATTTTTGTTGGTCTCATTTGACTTAGTCTAATTGGTATTATCTCTCGCCTTGTTGCTTTCAAATATACTTCGATTGTTTTCATTTCCTATCTGAGATAATAATGTAGCTGATATAAGATCCAGCAACAGGCTCAAGAGATTTGCCCTATCCGTAATGGTAAGAGCTAAAATATAAAACGAACAGTCTAAAGCCATATCTCAGGAAAGTTAAGAACACTAACACTCTACATTGAAGGCCAAGTCCATCGGGCCAAAATGCCCGCTGACTCATCTCACCTACTTCTTGGCGTTGCATACCCGTGGACACCTAAAAAGGTCTTGGCCTCCAATTCCGTCGATCTCAGTGGTTGCAATCAAAGTGGATTCTTCAGCGCATCGTATAGGCTCTCTGATGAAAAGCTTGATGAATCAGCGGGGATGAACAAGCTCTTACCCCGAGCTCCAGTCACAATTGCCCCTGTGATGACCGAAAAGGCTTCCTGACAACTGTAAGGAGTATTGCGATATTACTTTATGGATGATGCTACTGGCCCACGGGGCGGAAAGGGGCGGAGCGCATGCGATCTATGCCGACATCGAAAGGTAAATAATATCCACATTGCCTGTGTGACAGCCCCTAATCCGATTTCACAGATCCGCTGTGATAGAAACCAACCGGCCTGCGAGAATTGTCATATTGCAGGACTACCATGTACATTCTCTCAACCTATATCCCAACATCGGAAAAGTACCCGACAGTAAGACTCTATATTATTGGCCCCTATTTACCAAACGCTTACGGGTACACAGGGAGCTTGCCGACACCAAAGCTCGGGTTCGGGAATTAGAGACAACCCTGCTCGGACTTAAAGAATCCACAAAACAAAGCCACAAAAGGCTAGCTATCCCTTCTCCGAGCAGAGGCTCTTCTCCGGCGTCGCCTAGACCCGTCTCTCAAGCGCCTTTGTCTTATTTGCCCGATACTCGTGATTTCGATACCGCATTAGCAGCTTTCCAATGGCACATCTCGTATTGTGGGCTCGGGAGTCCTCTTTCGACCCAAAGGGCAGCTTTTTACTCTCTCATTGAAGAGCAAACAGGTTGTACATTCAATGTGGATGAGTTTGCTCATGAGGTCACCCAATCTTTCAATTCACAGCAGCTCAAATCGACCAAGAAAGTGATTGGAATCAAATGGCCAGAGTCTGCTCTAGTCCAACAGTGTTTGGATTATTTTGATAAAAATGGGCTCTATTCTATATTTCCAATTGTCGATGTTGAGGCCGTGCAGATTCTACTCAATGCAAATGTCTTAGACCGGCCTCCAAACATGACCCGTGCTGCGAATCGGGCTTGTCTAGTTGCTTTTGCGGCAATGATCACCCATATCCACCGCCATGAGCGAGCTTTCGCCGGCGCTGACCCGGATGCTTATCTGCAAGCAGCGCTAACGCTCCTTCCTGAAATGTTACTGGAGCCCCCTGATTTAAGAACCTTGGAAGCGGTGACAATATTAGTAAGTTCTTCGCGTGGTCCCTCGGGGGTGGATCCCATACTTCCCATGTCTCAGACGCTTATATGTGTCCATAGATGCTCTATATCACCCCTCTTGGTAGACCCCAGGCAGGAGAATTACTTCTCGGCATCGCAGTGCAGCTCATCTATAACCTCGGGGCAAACAGAATACAAACCTCCAATGAGATACACAGGACAGACCAGCGTAGCCAACATCTCCGAGCTTTGTTCTGGCATTGCTATGCCATCGACAAAGAATTCTCTATCCGAAAATCCCAGCCACCCTTGATAAACGATGCCGATTGCGATCTAGATCTGCCTACAACATACGCCCAGGAAACCTCAGCACGCCACTTTTATATGAAACCCTTGTCATCCAAGGAGCTTCTTTTCCCCTCGGACCTCCGTTTTTCCTTGCTCAAGTCCAAGATCTTCCGGTTACTTTACTCGGTGCACAGTCAGACACTACCAGAAGCTAGACGCGTTCAACATATCCGTGAACTAGACCAAGAACTGAGCGATTTGAAACTGGGGTATCCCATCGACTGCCGGCCGGAAGCTTTCGCCACCGAGAGCGCACCGGACTATCTGTTCCATGATCTTAGTATCCGCGGTGTGAATATCCATTTGGAATATTATTACTGCCTCGGAAAGATTCATGGGGCGAGTAGCTCTTGCAGTATACCTTCTCCGCAGAATTGGTCGCCTCTCCCGTCTAGCGCAGAGCTGTGCTTTGAAGCTGCAAGGTCTTCCCTGATCTACATCTGGCGAGTCCGCCAATTCGTGAATGATCATACGTTCTGGTAAGGAATTATACACCTTCTCCTACGTATTTACACTAATTTGAGTTTCTTCAATATTCCAGGCTTCATGCGCAATTTCTTCTCACAGCCGTCCTCTCGGTCTTCTGGTATCTTATCACGGTTCCAACTTCGCCTACCTTTACAAGGGATCTCAAGACCTTGGAGGATATTGCAGGGCTATTGGCTCATCTCAATAAACCGACGGATGACGGGCAGACTTCCCCACCATTTTATTTATCACACGCTTTTGTTGAGAGGTTGATCACACTGGCGCAGCATTCGCGACCTAGAGTTGCGGGCACATGATAGGTTTGCTCAATGCTTTCACTTCTGTTGAACGTGGTACTGTACATACAAATAATGCTAGTGCACTTTGTGACTAGGCCTGTAACGTTGGATTAATGTAGGAAACGTCTAGGAGCGTATATGTAGATGGCCAATTGAATTGATCTGCGCTATTGAAAATAGATAACATTATCTATTTATAGATGAAGTGCTTGTAGCCTTTAAGTACAGATGTGGCTTTGTCCTTTTTATCCGGCATTTTTCCACCAATCCCTGTCGTTGAAGTATACATCTCCTCTTCTCCCTTGCATATTCCATTCACCTTGCTCTTCTCTTTATCTCTCTCTTTCCTTCGTCTTTCTCTTCGTCTTTCTCTTCATTCTCCTCTCTTTCAATACTACACGACTTTACCCCTGACAGTGATAGGCAACTCCAGTTGCCAAGTGACGGCATACTATCTAAAATATCCGAAGCTGAGAATTCAGAAATTATTTCGAATTCGCCTTTTACAACCAGACTTTGCATCGCAGCTTGCCTTGACACCAACTCCATTGAATAGGGGAACTATTATAATCTCATTGGCATTATGATACATTAGTTCGCTCTTCTCTTTAACAGCCCAGCCGGGCTAGCTCAATCGGTAGAGCGTAAGACTCTTAATCTTAAGGCTGCGGGTTCGACCCCCGCGTTCGGCTATTCCTAAAAACCAAACCTGAGATTTCTTTTTTTGCTCTTACATTTTTTTCAGTTTAAATAGGATGGATGTATAGAGATGGATAGCTATTACCTTTTTTAAAGCTTTGCTATGGCTGTTGAATGATCTATAAATCCATAGATATCTAGGTGTCTGCCATGGTTCATGCTAAAGAGTCGCCTGAAGAACATTTCTCTTTTATTCTGATGAACAGGTAATTGGCGAGATATATATTTGGACGTGACCAAGTTTTCTTAACTCCATATTCGAAAATTTTTGTATCGTTTATTGATGCAACTAGAGCCGTTTATTTCCTCTCATCTATGTACAACACGGCCCTAACACCAAGAGAACTCAATCATCAGTCATATCATAAGGTACAAGATACACACGAAAACCCCGAAACCCCCTTGTATCAGATGGGGAAATGCAGCGCCTCAAATTACAGCTAAACACACTTTCACAACTTCGTTCCCTCGCGCCCACCGTCACTGGGACGCCTAGGCCGCATAGGCCCTAGGGTCTGACCAGCAGCATGGCTCGGCCCAGCCGCTGACGATTCGTTGTCCGTAGTATTGGTGCGAACAGCTCCTCCCCGTGTCCCTTGGTGAAGGCGAGGGTTCATGAGCCACTGGACCTGCATGCGGACACTGTTGACTGCCGCATTCGTGTGGGCTATATCTTCCTTGATGCGCAGGCATTCATTCATGATAGCCATGCTGGCGCGAGCATCTAAGTCTGTAATAGCATGCGAAAGTTGGCTGACCTCTTCCCGGAGAGATTCGTGTAGCGAGAGCAAATAGGTTGTGGCATTGGATGAAAATACACTCGCAGCGATGTCTGCAGGATCATCTGTGTGAACGTCGGCACGAGCGGAGGATTGCTGCTCTCGGCTAGATTGGGTAGCGCTATTACCGTTCGCACCTAAGCGGGTGGATTCGACAAGAGTGGCCCGAATGTTTGCAAGCCCATCCTCGAATATCTCATTTCGCTGTTGCAGATGCCGCATACTTGATTCAAGGCACTTGAGCCGGGTATTTTGAGTCTCAAAGTATGGGCCCATTGCGACTATGGGACAGCTTTGCTCATGTGCTGCAATGTCTGCCCGTCGGATTTTAACTGGACATGCGTACTTGGATGCCGTGCAGGGAATTGCAACCTCCGGACATGATTCAATGTGCTCCCGTAGTCCCCCTTTAGTGACAACCGTTTCGCAGTCGACACATGTGACTTCGAGAACTGGACAAAGCTCTCTCTCATGCTCCTAGCATAGGCGTTTCCGGTTAGCATCTATAGGATGTTTAAGAAGTTTAAAAGCGAAACAAACCTCGTATTCATGCTCTAACACATCTTCTTCGCAATTAGAGCACCGTCGCACTCTATGAATACACTTCTGATCCATCCCAACGTCCTTACTTCTTGTCATCTGATCGCATGAAGCATCCGGGCACGGCAATAGCCGGTACCCACAGTACTTCTCGACATGCGACTGGACATGGCCCCGGGGTATAATTTCCTGACAGCCCTCCGTTATCAACGGACATCGCACTCGGATCTCGTCGCACATGTTGATCAGCAGGCGGGGCACGCTAGCCGACACCTCCTGGGTGGGATTTCGGCAAGAGGGACACGGGAACTCCTCCGAGTCGGCCGAGCGGAATGTGGTGATAGCCGAACTGAGGCAACTCCCACAGAAGACATGGTCGCATTGTAGACGAACGGGTTCGACGAAGGGACAGTGGCAGATCGGGCACATAAGGTGCGAGTCGTATTCGGAGACGAGATCAAGGCTGCGAAGGTCGATTAGCTCGTCGTGGTCGCGGCTTTCCTCCATTGCTAGAAAGTCTTGTAAATTCATATTGCGCGGACCTTGAGCCTATCACAAGGCCTAATAGATAATGCAAGGTACGAACGGGATTTTATTCCCTATGTTGTTTGCTTTGGAATGCGGAATCGATGCGCTGGTTCATGCAGCTTTGCGCTAGATACGGGTAGACCGAATAATCCAGATCCATGAGGACACTCAGAAAACCATCAGTTGAGCGATCGGAAGCAAATGCTTGCAAGACATAGACATGTTAAGATTTCCGACCTGAAGACTGCGGGGAATCAAGGGGAGGAGGCAAAGGCGGAAAGCGGTTGATCCGCACTTGTTGCCTCCGCTTGTGATCTCTCGTCTTACCATCTCCACCTTCAACTTCATAAACATCTCAACAGTCTGACTTTATTCTTGCTTGGCTGATCGGAGGTCTTTCTCCGTATTGACCGTCCAAACGCCTACAATTTATACATCTCAGTACCCTGACATTTTGATCTCACACACCTCATCATGACGAACCCTGCCCAGCTATTCCTACTCGCCGATCACATCAAATTATCCCTTTTGGAGCGCGAAAGAGCAATCTCACTCGATCTCGAGCCTAATTCCCAAGATGGAGAGATCTCCATGTCTCTCGAGTCCCTCAGAGAGAGCATAGAGGCTCTGGAAGCCGAACAAATCCGGCTAGCCGATTCGCACGACAGCGCAGGCGCCGCCGCTCTGAAAGACCAACTCAGCCCCCTCCAAGCGCAATACAAAGATCTTTCGACCCAGTTTTACGGCGTAGATGGCGAGCCATCGGGCATCAACACGACGCAGGCGTCGAAACCAGCCACCCCCGATATCAAGCAGCCAATCCCCCAACACCCACCTTCCAAATCCGTCCGCTTCATGGACAGCTCCGCCACAGCAGCAGCCGTGCAGGATGAGATCGATGAGGAAGACGAGCGCAACCGCAGCAATCTCTTCCACCCATACCGTGATGAGCCATCGCCGCGGCCGGATCAGTCAAACATGGACAACCAGCAGATCTACGATCACCACGCTCAAACCATGCGCGACCAGGATGACCAACTAGATCGGCTGGGTGAATCAATTGGCAGACAGCACCAGCTGAGTATTCAGATTGGAGATGAGCTGGATGGCCACGTTCAACTTCTGGATGGAATGGATGGGGATGTCGAGCGCCATCAGACCCGACTGGACGGTGCTAGACGGCGGATAGATAGGATCCGTCGAAAGGCGGGTGATAACTGGAGCATGATGACTATCATTGGATTGATCATTGTTCTAGTCATCTTGATCGCGATCCTGAAATGATCGATACGGGCGGATGATTGGTGATTGGTGGCTGTTCTTTCATCGCTATTGCTTTTTACTTCTTTCTTTTTGGACGAGCGGGCGTTTACAACTTTACGCAATACGGGACGATTGACTCTCCCGATGTTTTTTTTTTTTTTTTTTTTTTTTTTTTTCACAGTGACTCGAGGCGTTCAGGCAATTGAGTTGTTCCTAGACTCATGATTAGAATATGAATCATATTACATCTACAACCCTGCCTACCCTTGATCATAACCTTCCATATTCAATTATCTGCTTCAAGAAAGTGTGTAGTATCAATTGTCATTGACGAATGCGATAAACTCGAATAAATCATAATAAAAGACTCCCAACAGCCTCACCCACAGACTGCCCCAATAAAATATACATAAACGAAGTTCGTGATAGAAATTTTATACAAAAGGCCGAGAGCTTTCACTTATTGCTTGCCCTTCTGGCCCCCAACATGTTTCGTCTTCTCCTGCATCTGCTCGAAAGTGGCATCACCATCTAGTTCGCCGCGATCCGCTTTGACCTGAATAAATCAAAAGATATTAGCTTTGATGGCAGATGAACTTTAGGGGTTCAATGCTTACCCCGGCCTCGCTGTTACTAGCCAGCTCAGGGTTCCAGTACCCTTTACCCTCTTTGTTGCTCTTGAGGCCTTCTTGCTTATTGGATTCGTAGTGATTTGGGAGGTCCTCGCGGTCTGGTTGTGGTTAGTATGGTTGGGTGAAGTTGGTGGTGGTATACGGACTTCTATCATCCTCCTTCAAGCTCCGGGCTGCTGAAGAGTGAAATGTGGCAGCTGGAATGGCGAAGTTGGTCCGCATAGCTTGGCGGGAGGAGGCACGGATGGAGGGGAGGAATGACATAGTTGATATGATGTAGATGAGGTGGTTTAGATATAATGGTAGAGTAATTTAATTGAGCTTGCAGAGGTGAAGATATGAAAAGGTATTTGAAATCAAGTGGAACTTTCTTCCGGGGGGGAGATATTTAAGAGAGGTCCTTCTTTCGATCTGGTTCTGCCGTCACGTTCATTGTCCTGATGCTATATGACATCATCGGATGAGTGGGTCCAAGGTTATCTACCTTGGAAGGTTGTCCATGAAATATATTGACATTTAGATAGTATTCTGATTTAGATAGTATTCTGATTGAGATTGGTATTTCATGCTTTAGAGATTTGATAGATTCTGGCATGGTGTACTCAATTCTGCGATGTAAGATCCCCGCAAGTCATTGGTAGAAGTGTGGAGGCTGGGTGTTCTACTGAACTTGATTTTCTTGATTTTGCAATCATAAATACAATCCGAGGCCTCTAGACAAAACAACTTGATTATCATGTGAATAGTACCTCAATCGCGAGGGAGCCCTGGAGGTGTAAGTAGATGCCTGAGGCCTCCCAAGTTCTCTTCGCTATACCCTTCCTGGACCTTTTGACACGCCTTCAATCCCCAATCTGTGATACTAACCATGTAGCAACTCTCAAACATAAAAATACTCCCAGTCCCGACCTTAACTAGAATGAGTTCTCCCAAGGTTGCTAGCTTTTGTCAAATGCCTCCGCATCTGGCCCATGGTTGCTCAGTTATGAAGACTTGCCCCAGCAGCTTGGAACCCACCTGAACAAGCTCCTTTAATATGAGACCCCTTAATAAGCCCCATAAACTCCCGAGGTCAATCATACAGTTTCGGTACGATGGTGGCCGGAACCTTGGAAAGTGGCCTCGCTGACTAACCATCGAGGGAAGATAACAACCTTGGAAAGTCGGCAGCTATACCGGGGCGAGCATTTGAGTGGGCCTCAAGGATAGTATTTAAGGATCTGGATGGTCGTATGAGCCGGTTCCGATGGTATCAAATCGACCCCAAGTCGTACTTGCACGGATAATTGTACGGATAGTATTTTCCCTCCCAAGCCACGACGTCAAACGGGATATGACCATATTTACTACTAAACAACTGCTCACAAAACTTGTTGACCTGATTCTGCGTGGAATCACGCAAATCTTACTGGGGCGTATCAAAGGTATTATTACAGGTACAGTTCTCGCCGAGTCTTTCAATGCAGCAGTGCTGTATACCATGCGGCGACGTGCGGCACGGCGGCATGATAAGATGCCCAGACCAGTGAACCTCTTGCCTTCGGTTATCTTGGCTTGTGTGTGTTATTGCGGGGTTAGTTGCGTTCTGTATATACATGGATCTGCTGGGTTGCTTGTTGGGGTAGTAGTTATGAGCATATTACCGCTGATGTGGCATTGGAGGATGCACGACAGTAGATATCATCCTCAATCAAATCATGATGGCCTAGCAGAATCTATGTAATATTCAAAATATTTGCATATCTAGAGTTACTGAAAAATGGTTCGGTGAGAAAAATGAAAACAATCTATATTTAGTATTTCGAAGCGCACTATCAAATAAATATGACTTAACTGAAGACAAAACAAGCGGCCAAATCACCAAAAAAATCGCAGCGCCGTAAATTGCACAGCGCGTTTGACGGAATCGATTTGTATCCACGGCGAGGGCGATTTAACCGGACGAACCGCAGTCCGATCTAGATTCGTCCAAATCCATTGCTCTATCTAGGTAATCTTTGTGCTCAATATCAAATCGGATCTGCATGATAGCCTGCCTCCAGACAACGATTTTGGTGATGCGACGTGTACCTCTGGGGAATGCCGACAAAACAAGAGCAGCCACTCCTTTCCCAAGCTCTGTGCCTAGAATAGCCTTATATTCGGGGGTATCATACGCCCAGGCCAGTTGATTTAGTGATGCTGGAGCTAGCTGAAACCCTGGGGAATTATCTGGTTGAGTTTTAGCCCAAATTGTCTGAATAAAGTCCCTGGTATCCTCATTAATAACGTTTTCGAGATAGATGTGTCTCAAGGTATTCTGGTCAAAGTGAGTATTGTACTGTGCGTGGGCGACTTGACTCCAGTGAAGTCCATCGTATCTTTCAACCTTTCTAACAATAACAACTCCCATTGCAGTCGTGATATGATGACAGTTAGTTCCACTCCCTCTTTTTGGGTGCCTCTTGGTCGCCAGTTTTGTGATCTTGGCATCGTGGTAATCCTGCTCGCCTGTAGGGAGGCGACAATTCCTGAGATCATTTCGAAGCACGGGGGGACCAGGTCCCCAGCGGTTGAAAGTTGTTGTCCATTTTTGGGACCGTCTTGTAGTGTGGGTCAAGTCTTTATATTCGAAATTTACTGGCGTGACTTTGCACTTAGGCTCGTTTGCATCATCGATCCATCTTTGTCGCAACTCTCCCCACATCTCGCGCTCGCCGTATTGATAACGGTCTGATGCCGGGTCAGCCTGCGTGACCACGGGATTATTGGCAGAAATGGCAGGGCTGGGAATGTCTTGTAGCTCTATAGGGCCATCGGCACCGGCTCCAGGCTGAGGACCCCAGCTAGGGGATCTGCGGCGGCGGCTGCGGCAGATACCGAAACAATTCCATGAACAACAACCAGGCATATCTGTGAGTATATTGGATCGGGATGTATAAAACTAAAGTCTTGAGTATTGAATATTGAGTGTAGTATTGAATGATGAATGATGAACTTGTACTTGTCTGTATACCTAGAGAGGACCCGAGGATTATATACATGCGAGCTGAGTAGGTGGTGTACTCGATTGTGAGTATCTCTTTCAAGTATATACAAAGGTGAAAAAAAGGAAACTTTGTACACAAAGCGTCGACACAAATATAAACACTCGAACAAGGCAAACAATAATAGAGGGAACTAAGACCATGATCCCAAATGGACAAGAAGTGGACAAAGAAGTTGAAGTCGAAGACAAGGCGAACAACGAGCACAAGTGCGACGGAAATAGCAATCACATGGACAATTATCGACAAAGAGAACATTGTAAACCAACAGGAGAGCATAGAAAAAGAAGTCGACTCTCAAAATATGTCTACAGGATCAATGCTAAGAGGCAACTGTTTTGGAAATTTGAGATTGGGGCATTTGAGGTTAGACGATACAGAAAAGGTCATTAGTCCAGTACGTACTCTATTCCAACCAATTCTGGACCTAGGGCATTGTCGTGGTGATGTCGACTTTGACTGCAGACTTATATCCCAAGCCAATCGTGTCTGCTATTATTGCCTACAACGTTGTATGTATCTTACTGTATTTGACCTTGGATGGATATCTTGAGCTGTTATCAAATCTTGATCCAAATACCGAGACTTCATGGTGGAAGATGTTTAATTACGGGATACTAGTTAAACATGTTCATGGTCATAGCATGTTGTACTCCGGGTTAAAGAACATGCAACTTGATACTACGAGAACTTGACTTATTCTACCCCTGAGCTTGATTTGAAGTGACAACTACAACATTGTATTTCTCCGAGACTTCCCCTGTCTCCATACTCTAAGAGAAAAGGGGAAATGACACTGCCAATCATTGTTAATCAACTGCACATGTGCATTAGCGTAGATTGTAGATTGTAACGCTTATTTCTTGGCATAAGTCTTGAGTAGAATTATCCTATTTGGTTAGATTGATGCAGGCTGATATTAGGTGCTATATATATTTCCCCAATTACCTTGGAAACACTTGTCCTCATCCCACTCTATTAATTGCTTTAGGATACACTGCACCTTGAACGGCCAAGGTAGCATCTTTCCCATTCAACCTGTGGATTTATGCAGAAGCCCGTTTGAAACAAATACTATCAGGTATGAGCAGGACTAGTAATCGTCCGGATAACGATGAGATCTCTGAAGTTGTCAAAATAACCATTTAATTAGACTTTCCAAGATGAAGACGATCCTCCTAAGCGCCCTCCTGCCAACATTAGCCAGCGCAGCGGCAACAAGCGGTAAATTCACTGCGCTGAGCTTCAACGTCGCAGGTCTGCCATCAATTTTTCAGTCGAACGAGGTCAATGGCACAAAACCCGAAAATGCCAAGCAGCTCGGCACCTACTTCTCACAGTATGGCTACGATATCATCAATATGCAGGAGGTACCACCAAACCCAGTCTTCCTAGTATGTCAATTGATCTAACAACGGTCTAGGATTTCAATTATCATGCCTACATCTATGAAGCAGATAAACACGCTTACCGGACCGCTACCTCTGGCGGCGCAGCCATCGGAAGTGGTCTGAACACCATCTCCAACCACGACTGGGTAGATTTCGCACGCGTGAAATGGAACACATGCTCCGATGCATCCGGCGCAGACTGCTTGACCCCGAAGGGACTCACATTCATGCGCTGGAACCCGGCCGATGGAGTCTATGTTGACTTTTACAACATCCATGCCGACGCTGGGTGAGTAAAGCCTATTTCTTACATTGTAGTCGATCTAAAGACTGACTCCCACCAAGCACCGAGGCTAAGGATGAGATTGCCCGAAACTCCAACTTGCAGCAAGTCGCAGATTACATCGACACCTGGTCGACTGGTAACGCCGTCGTAGTCATGGGCGATACGAACAGTCGATACACGCGGGCCGATGACACGGGCATCCGCGTCTTCAAGTCTCAGAATAGCCTCGCAGACCCTTGGGTTGAGCTTGAGAAAGATGGCGTCTACCCCACAGCTGGGGCAGATGCCTTGCTATGTGACAACCCGTCTTCTATTCAGACCTGCGAGACGGTTGATAAAGTGCTGTACCGGGGGTCGGACGTTGTGACCCTCAAGGCAGACAGCTTCGTCTATGACGGTGGGAAGTTCACAAACACTGACCCGAAGTATCTGGGTCAGATTCTCTCGGATCACAACCCGATTCTTGTGAACTTCACCTGGTCGCTTTCGTCGTCGCTGCGACAAAGTCAGTTCTCCGGTGGTCCACATGGGGTGTGGTTTAATGATCTGCCAAGTGTTCCTTCATCGCCTGCTGCTTCTGTGATTACTTTCTCTGGTGGGAAGAGGCTGGATGCTGTTGCCTTGAAGCTGAAGGATGGCACATCGTTTAGTCATGGAGGAACTGGTGGCACTAAGGTCTCCCTTACACTGGACTCTGGGGAGTATTGGACGGAGACCAAGCTCTGTACCGGGCAGTATAATAGCCACACTCGCAACTTCTATATCAAAGCTACTACCAATGCTGGTAAGACCTTGGAAGCGGGCACCTCAACAGGTGATTGTCAGACGTTTACTGCCCCCGATGGTTTTGCGGTTGTGGGTTTCATGGGACAAGCCGAGGACGAGATTGATCAATTGGCTTTGGTATATGCGGCCTATTAGAGAGGAAGGAAAGCGCGATTACTTGAGATGTGAATCCAAATTTATGGTGAATATGCACCTGTTCATTTGCCATTTTGGCCAATCGTATCAAGTCATGGTCTATGCTATGTATGTCCCGAACGCCGAGGTATTTAGCAAAAAAATGTTACCCATATGCACCGCGCTGTGTAAAAGGAAAAAAAAAACCAAAGAGGAGCACATCAATCACTCCTCCTCTGGGAGAACGTCATCTGGGTTCTCGCCAACCGCCTGTCCCACCAAGCGCACAACTCGCTTGATCGCCTTGGACGCGGGACTGTCAGGGAAATTATCCACAAAGCTTTCACCAAAGTCGCATGCCATGCCGACGCGGGGATCGAGAGGCACAGCACCTAGGAAAGGAATGCCCATTTTCTTCGCCAGCCGGCGACCCCCACCAGTCGTCGCCCGGAATATTTGCGACTCATGGGTGCACTTAGGACAGACAAATCCAGACATGTTCTCTACCAAGCCTAGCACCTTAATGCCAGCCTTGCGACAGAAGTCGACCTCCTTGCGAACATCCAGCAGTGAGACCTCTTGCGGGGTAGTCACGACAACGGCACCGTCAACGCCAGACTCCTTCAGCAAAGAGTTGACGGACAGATGCTCGTCAGAGGTCCCGGGAGGCGTATCAACAATCAGATAATCCAGTTGGCCCCAGTCTACATCCTTGAGGAATTGCTTGATCAGTCCGTTCTTCTTGGGCCCGCGCCAGATCACCGCATCGTCACGGTTGGGCAGCATGAACTGCACGCTCATTGCACCCAGGTTATCTGTCACCCAGACGGGACTCCAGCCAGCATTGCTGATGTGAATAGTCTCCGACTCCACGCCCATCATCTTGGGGATCGACGGCCCGCAGATATCCGTGTCCATGATGCCGACGGTGGAGTCCGGGTTGGCGGCAAAGGCGTGCGCAAGGAGGGTTGAGAACGTAGATTTACCGACTCCTCCCTTTCCGGAGAGGACTAGGATCTTGTGTCGTATTTGGGAGAGTCGTTCGGTGATGATGGAGATGTCAGGGTCGGGGCCTTTGGGCGCAGTAGCGCAGATCTGTTGGTTTGGGCAACCGGCACAGGCATCGCCTTGGCCAGCTTGCTCGGATTCAGGGCCTGGGCAGTGTTCTGTGGAGAGTTAGTGTGTGTATTGTGTCAATGGTTCTGCGCATGCGTACCTGGTTCGGGTGCGACAAGGCTGGGCGTCACCTTGGACGAGACTGCTAGAGACTCCTCGACGAACTCCTCCACATAGGGCGCCATTTTGAATTGCTGATCTGTGTGGCAATGGAAAGAAGATCAAATAGAAAATAAGAAGCTAAATGTTATGCAGTCGCAAGAAACAGAGAAATTCAAAGTCCGGTGGCGGATTGATGCTTGATAAGCGGGGATGACTAAAAACCCGCTGCGATTGGCGGGGTAATGCATATCTGCGGTGTCGGAGCCCCTGCAGGCGCAAGTGTATGCAAGTCCAGAGTGGAATATTTCATTTGATATGATCACTGTTAAAAGTTGTAGAATATTGGAGAATAATGAGATATATAGTATAATACGGGCAAAGCAACTAGAGCATAATGTAGGGTTGTAGAACCCGGCCTACAACTATGGATGATGCATATCTAACTATTTTTTATGTCCATTTGCCAAACCAACCAGATCTCCATATTTTAGTGTATTTGTTGTTGCGGTATACTGATTGGCTTCCGGCGAGACAGTCAATATCATGGTCGAATGAGTATCGGTTGATGCCTCGAAGTGCTCCCGCAGCACCATAGTCAATGGAGAGGAACGGTATGGGATACGAGATTTCTTGCTCGATCGGGCTCGGATCACTTCTTTCAATGCGAGAAGGTCAGTATTTATCTGCCTCCCTTCTTGCTTCTCTTGCGGGGTCTGTTTGAGCGCAGACCCAGTCGTGCTGGAAAGGAACTCAGCGCCGGCTAGATCTACGAACACAAGCTTGCCACCAATACATTGATGTGCCTGAGCGGTAGTTACAAACACTTCAGACTCATGCTCTTCTGCCTCTTTCACGCGAGATTCAAACTCGGCTTTTTTGGCTTCTGCAGCATCGACGCGTGCTTGATCCACTTGATAATCAGGATTTGGGACGAATTTCCCCTCTTCAGTCTGGATAATTGCACGATATTGCTCCTCAATATAGACATCTGTTGCATGTTTCCCCACAGGAACAAGCTCAGATTGCCGCTCAACCACCTGATCGCGCGCATCAAGAAGATCCTTGGTGA